CCCACACAGCCTGGAAGACTCACACCAGCCAACGCAAAGCTATTGCTTTTTTATTTCAGTACTGAACAGTAGGTTGATAACTAATCCTCTATACACAGAGGACTTGCCAATATTAAAGTCTGATCTGGCTCATAGTTCATGTTCTTAGCCCCAGAAAACCAGGGAAGAAAAAAAAGTCCTCACCAGCCCTGCATGGCTGTAGTTAAATCCTTGTTCTCGAGATATAGTCCAGTTGGCATGTTCTTCTATTACTGACATGTCAGGAAACTTGACAGGACTGCTAAACCAATCAAATTCCAGTTCCAAACATGGAGTTTCCTAAAGAGAAAAAAATGTGCTTTCACTTATAGGTAGAAATAGCATGAACATGCAAAAACCTAAAAGAGCTAAAAAGTTTAACTGTCTTAGATCACAAGTGCTGGTTCTTGCACATAGAAAATGAACATATCAGCTGAGATTTCAAGCATGAATTTCTCCCCAATACTTTTCATGCGTTGTTTTTTTTGCATGTATGTTACATGGAGGAGCATACAGCCATGTGAACCCTAACTACAGCCCAAAATAATATTTTACAATGTTATTACTGTAAAAACAGAATGGTATGCAACTTTTCTGGCTCAGAGCCACATTTGGCCTTTGAGTGACAGAACTGGCAAAAAAGTGAATGAAGCAAGGACAAAAATGAAATTCAGTTTAAACAAAATTTAAAATTAATTAAAACTAAATGCAATTAATATTATTCCCCATGTGGTTAACAATTTCTCCCTTCTGTAACATTACAAACTATGGTTCACTGAACTTTTGAAGAAGAATGGGGCCAACCAACTTTCAAGGGCCTTGCATATATGATGGGATATTTTACAGACAATCATTAGGATTTACAATTAAAACTCCTGATTTAGGACAATGAACTTTGTAAATAAGCCAGAAATTGGCTTGAAATATATTATTATTGTTATTATGGTTGGTTGCACAGTCAGCCAGATGTTTAGACTGGATTTGGCATTTTTATCCAC